ACACAGTTCCACCAAATGTTATTTCCTAATTAGTAAGAAAAGTATCTTTTAAGAAAGTTAAAGCCATGTTGTAAAACTCACCATAAATACATCAAATTCATCCATTGCTCTAAACGGAGCTTCAGTCATCTCATGAAGAGCAAGTGCAAAGCACAAAGTTGAGAAAGAACGTTCTCCCCCTGATTTTACATCAGAACAAAAGCAGAATAGTTTCACATCGGATCTAAATAACCAGGATACTCAACGAAGGCATCGAGTCCATATCCCTACGGAAAGAACAAAAATAACAAACGCTGCAAGAGGAATGAAATTAATAGAATAAACATATGTCTCAGTAATGTTTTAGCCATTATTTTATTTTAAAATTCCAACAGGCAGAAACTAACGACTGGCAGGGTAAACGGAGATTTAAAATGTTACTCACAGTAACGTTTTTTTTTTTTTTGATGAAGTAAGGAAATTTCATTAAATGGCATCAAGAAGATGCATAGCAACATAAAGGTATTGTCTGCTCATATACAAAAACTTACAGGACAACTAAGGAGCAGGCAAAATCCAGAAATAGTTCCAACACTAGTTACAGGGGCCTGATTGAACCAACTAAATAAGTTAATTAAACAAGTGGCTTGAAGAGTGTGGTTGGGAGTTGAAATCCCATCAAAACATCTACGGTTCCTTTCATTCCAAATACTCCAAAAAATAGCACCAGGTACCATTGACCAAGTCCAAATACTGTATCTACGGTTACTAGTTCGTCTGTAAATAGTGACACTCTGCCAGTAACCTAGCAGGAACTGAAATTTACATTCTGACAGTAACCTTCTGGCATATCTTCTGCTATGAAACCTTTCACATCTTTTCGCTCCTATTTATTTAGAAGGTAAAGAGAAGGCCATGCCCCTTACTCCCTTGGTATTATTTGTTCCCTTCTCTTTGTTTAATTTTCCTGAGGTTGCCTATGTGGTTAATACTAATCTCTGTCTCAGCAACAGTTTAACAGCTGATTCCTTAACACCGCCAGAATACTCTTTTTTTTACATCAAAAACTAATTCAAATACAAATGGGCAATGGAATGTGAATCCCGCAGTTGGAGCAAATCAAGCTTCAGAATCTTTGCAACATCAAAAAATGAAATTCCAAAAAAAAAGAAATAGAAAAAAGCACAATCTTTCAATCAGCAATTGGCATTTGTTTCGGTAAATAAAGAATATTATTACCAAAAACAGCAGAATTACAGCTCAAACAACAAACAACCCTCACTAAGCTGGAAATTGAGCCCCATACCTAGTGCAACCGACATTTCAGAAAAGAAAATGGCAGCAACCGCAACAGCTTTTTCTTAAACTCAAGAAAAAAAAAACTAGCAAAAAACACTAACTAATAGTGTATGTGTGTACATAAATAAATATATATAAATACACACACACACACACACACACATTTATTTATTTATTTATTTATTTTGAAAAACAAATCGCAACAAGGCTATAGATGGCACTGGTTTCTTGTTTGAATCTCCAAGTTTTTATCTATCGACAGCGATCCCTCACCCAAAACACACTTTCTTAAAGTATCTCAGCTTGGATTTGAGAAAACAATGGAAGATTACTGGAAATGGGGCTGGCTTTTGCCGAAAGAGCACGTCTGTTAGACTGTTCGCTAACTCCACATTGTGTTGAGATTTTTATTATTATTATTACTATTATTTTTTACAAGTCAACGTTGTGTTGATTATGACAGTGTTACGTTACTAGAAGTAACGATTTACACTTAAATGATGCTTGCCGTAAATGAGCCAAGATAGAATAGTTCAAATATGCCATCTACTAACTTAATTCACATAGGACATAACCAAATAATCATATGAGATCTCTCAGTATATCCTCTATGTGTGAACTATTCATA